CTCACCAGTGCAGTCAGCAAGGCGTATCTGCAACCTTGAAGGAACTGATGTCCCTTTTGAGATTCGAACCAGCGTCACCCAGTGCTGCAGCAAGTCAGAGACGTTACCACTGAGCTATTTGGGCTCGCAGTTGACCTCTTGTAGGATTGTAGTGAGTATTTTGATTTTTTTTATTTTTTATTTCCTTCACGTTCCCCAGTGGAACATAGGGCTTCAAGCTAGTGGCTTGAAGTTTCTGTAGCAGTGATTATTTTACAGGATGGGGTTGCTAGCCTCATGCCCAACCTTTCCCCTTCACCAGCGTTATTTCTGGGTTAGCGAGGTAAAGGAGTGCGTCGGCCGGTGATCGTACCCCGGGCCATGTGCATGGTCGGCGAGCGTCCTAACCACTATGCCACCGACGCACACAGTATTTTGATTGGACACTAGTAACTAGTGTGACGTGTCTAGTCCTTTCTTTGGTGCAGACTGAGTTCTATCAGTCAAGTTATTTATTTCACTATAAAAATATTTTATTACTCATCTGACTGTATTTTATTGAAAACACTAATATTATTATTTCCGAATGTACTTTATCTTATATTGATTTTATTCAATCAGATGTCTAATCATCACTTTTTACTCATGTATATAAATGAAGCAAAAAAGTTGTATGAGTGAGTGCCTTGATATGATTATGAGTGGCAATAATTTGTGCTGGAAATATGGTCATCAGTTAATATTACTGTATAACAAACACTGTGTGGTTTTGTCAAAATAAAATCTTATCCACATAATGGAGTTATACCTGTTTTGTTGACCATATATTAATTCTTAAACTTTTAGTGATGCCTAAACTCCTTTCAATACGTGTCTACGACCGAATCAACAAACTTGCAATGAAGAAGCACCATCAACGTGTACATCGGTTGGCTCTTCGAAGGAATACTATTGAAATCTGATTATTTCGACATCTAATGATCTGCAGTATAATTTCGCCTAAACCATGTGTATCTACCAATTTAACTGTTCCTGTGGAGTGAGCCAGTTACATAGGCCACACAGTTAGGTGTGTTTCTCGTCGAATTTCCGAACATCACCCTGTGTGGTTAGTTAAGTAAAGGACAAACAAAATCATTTGCAGCGCTATTCTATCTCATCTTGTGGATACACAACACAAGATTGATGTTGACAAGATGGATTTCATGGTCATTTACCGCATACCAACAAATCTCAATTTCGCCTTAAGAGTTCGTTTACTAAATATTGCTGAGGCTGGCTGTTTGGATCCATATTAAGAAGTCTAATTTGTGCGTCAAAAAGAAGTTAGTTCAGACATTGTCCTTAGGCATGGCTAGGCATACGTAACACATGTCCTAACCATCTCAGTCGATTTAGCTCCAAAGCCTCGTCCATTGATTTCCCCTCCTTACCTAGCAGTCGACGCCTAACCTCAATACTGCTCACCCTATTATACTGTGTTGAGAGCTGTCTGCTAGCCAAAATTGGTAGACAGCAATTTACGTCAGTATTTACGTTCCAAATGTTGGTCATGAGAAAAAAACAAGGACAAAGACTAATTCAACAATCAATCACAGTAGACTTTGAGTGGGCGGATATGATTCGCAGATATATGGTCTGACCTTCAAAGAAACGCCCACAAAGACATGACGGAATAACTTTCAGTGAGGAAACAACCAATCAGAAGACGCTTTTTCTGTGCAAATAATAACGAACGTACATAAAAATATATAAATATCTGTTGATTTCCTCAATAAACGATCTGTTGTCTGGACCTTGTCTTCTGTCATTACAATACCACTTCACACGGTAGAACAGGGACAGTCAGACTAGCCGAGCACAAAACTTAGCAAAATCTAGATTTGTTGACCCTAATAAGATAAGAAATCTGGGTAATAATTCATCTATAACCACACACTATATGCAATTACACATGCCCAACCATACAATAGGATGGGATAAAATGACAGTTAAAATCTAATGCAACAGGGTGATAACAGAAGCTCTATTTATCGAATCAACTGAAAATACGTGTAATAGGAATGACTCATCACCTGTCCACCTGGACAACTCTATTACCCCCATAATCAACAGAAAAGTAAGAATGAAGAAAACTATAAAACGAAAGTTTAAAAGTTGTATACTTGTAATTGATATCATTAAGAACAATGGTGTTCAAAACGTCATCTAGTAAATAATACTGTTTCACAGTGTGATATATCTAATTAAAAAAAATTAATATAGAATCTAACAAGTATCCCTACAAAAACCCAAAATTGGAAAAGTAATAAAACTGTAGGGGGTCAGTGAAGTTCTTCCATTCACTCAATTGAATCTCAGCTATTTCGCTTTCAACGGTCGATCAATCAATTTGTTCATCTGTGCCAACTGGATCAGATTGCAGACAACGGGGTTTTCACGGAATAACAGCGTGGCTGTGCGTTGTGGTGTGATTATCGTGAATCTCTGTGCTCACTTCATACCATCGTGTTAATAAATACATCCTTGAATAGCCGTAAAGGGGTTATATTCTCCCTTTTCTAGTTAAGGTGGTGTTAAGAACAGCCTGGCCCACTTAAGCTAGTGGCCAGACCACAAAGTCAGCAAGTACTCTGGCCACACAACAATCATGAGCATCATTTCTAGCTGAAGCCGATCGCCAACGAGCTTGCAGTCGCTCAATTAGCCTATCTAACTGGTTACCCAGATAAGTACACCTTACAATTATCATTATTATTGTTCCTTTGGGTTCCGAGTGGAGCATAGGACTCTGACAACACATCTACACTTTCTTTTATTTTTTGCTATCCTCTTCAGCTGTGTCCATGATTGCCCAGACTCTTTCATCTCTTCCCCACACGACCTCCTCCAAGTCACCCTAGCACCGACGACCCACTCGTCGCTTCCAATTGGCATTTCACTCGAGGGTCTGGCACGCGATGTCAATAGATGGTTTACTCAATGTATGCCCAACCCATCTCCAGTTTATCCTGCATATTTGTTCAGCCGTCGGCTCTTCGTTGGTTCGTTGATTATCAGAGTTTCTTGTTACGAATTCTTTCTAGCTATTTGATCGTTAGTATGAAGTCAGTGAAGATGGCAGCTGTTGATAAAGTCTGAAGTAGCCTGTTGGAAATCCTTTTCAGTGCATGCTTTTGACCCATATAGAAGGATCGACTTCACATTAGTGTTGAAAATCCGAATCTTGTTCTTTATGCTGACTGAGTGTAGGAGATTTCCAAACTGGTTTCAGGTTGGTGGAAACGTATCTTGCCTTTCCGATTCTTGCTGGCTAGCTTTGACATCTTCATCTGTTCCGACTGCCTGCAGTTGAAACGAAACTTACTGCCTAGATAAGTGAAGGAAGTAACTTCACTTAAATGTCTCTCTCTCGTTGATGGTGATTGGTGCTGGTTGTTGAATGATGAGGTTTGTCGGTACACCTCATAAACATGAATTGGAAACATTTATTTCCCGATACGAATTTAAAACAAGCAATAAAGGTAAATAAAGCAGGATTTAATGAATTCATCAAATTTCGGTAGAACTCGTCAGCTGAGGTGCGAATGCACCTGCCTTTCTGCATGACTAATTTAATGTAGTTTGTTTACTTATCAATCTTATATCCCCAATGTAATTCCAAAAGTATATATATCTGTGTATGTAGAGTATTCAGCTGACGAGTTCTACCGAAATTTGATGAATTCATTAAATCCTGCTTTATTAACATTTATTGCTTGTTTTATAAACATGATTTCACTTGGTGAATGGTGACACTTGTAGTAGAATCCACCAGGAAGCGCATTTCGCCCTATTTGGGTGACTTGTCGTCAGTCGAGTGACTGAACTGACGATGTCTTCACACAAAAAGTCGAACCCACCCACCCCACCCCCCTTCGTTGCAAACGTCAAAGTGTTGTCCACCAGACTACTTGGGACACGACAGCCGCCTCAATCAATTAACGGGAAATATCGAAATGATGACTTAAACAAAATATAGAAAATCAAAACAAATGATTCAGCGAAGAGACTGCATGGTTACGAAAAGGTGGAAGTGGAGCAATAAGAAGCGCGATCATTGAACATCTGGTCGATAATGATCACCCTATCTCTATAGCCTCCGCCTTCAAAGTCATCTACAAGGTAAAGAGTAATTTACCCAAATCCCTACGTACCCGACTCATCTGTATTGCTGAAGCCATCTTTGGCTATCGAAACAGAAAAGCCACATCTCTGTATACAGAAAAAGTTCGTTCAAACCCTCCAACTTTCATGGTCTTAAGTATCGTACTCCCCAATCATATTTTAGCTCTACCAATTTTTCATTTTGTCTATTCAATTTGCATACTCTTCCTTATTACGTCAATTGTTACTATTACTACTCTCACTTTTAATTGTCCCCGGTATTATTTCACTTGTTCCACTTGTCATTCTAAATCAATTGCTTTTTACAACATTACATTCTATGCCATTAAATTTCACACAATATTACGTAACGTTTTTATTTTGTTCAATTTGTCTACTAATCTTATATTTGCACACCCCTTTTCAAGTTCTATGCATCCTATTAATTTATTCTATATATGACATTAATTTGCTTTGCCACTTGACATTTAACTACGATTAGAATCACAAACATTTTAGTTTTAATTGCATTTCATACTACTATTATTATTTCATGTATTCACACCTATGATTGAATTCCTCAACGGATATAACTTCTTAAAAACCATATATATACGATTGTACAGCTTGATGATAAATTCGTTGTTGAAAAGAGTCTCTTCGCTGAATCATTTGTTTTGATTTTCTACATGTTACAATGGGAATTTTCCATGATTTAAACAAAATACACGTTATAAAAATTTTAAATTATAAATGCTGGATCAATAATCCCTCGGGTGACAAGATAGATCATTGTATAGATAATAAAGGCATTGTTTATAAAAGGTAATGATAATAATAATAATAATAATAATAGCAAAAATCAATATTCTCATTCATATTAAATCCTCAGGTAAATTACTATAATAATTATTAAAATCTAAGCGTAATAATAATTGATTTAAATCTGCTGTTCCTGAATTCAGAACAGGATTATTACTATTACTATTATTATTAATATTATTATTATTGCCACGGGAGAAACGATGAGTATAAGCAGAGTTTATGCTAACGCTGCTTTTAGCACCGGTTGAACACGACATACTAATTAACTCATATAACAATTTCGATTGATTATAAAATGCACTGATGATATGCTCTTCTTTGTTAGACAACTGGATATTCTCAAGAGAAACACCGCCAGTGTCACTGCTGCTGTCATAGGCGATTTCACTTGATATATGAACAAACTGACGGCAAGTGTTGAGTAAATTGAATATACACAGTTTTACATTTGGCATGAATAATAGTGCTTGTGCTTGTAGACTGGCTAAATACGCCTCATGAGCGATTTGAATCAATTGGATATCTTGGTCTGTTTGACAACGATATAGTAAGTGTGAGAATTGCGATTCAATAACATCAACCTGCAATAACAATAATAATAATATGATAAAGAACGGACAAAGAAAAATAAATGATATCTTAGGTTGAGTATTTGAGAAAAAACAATTTTCAAGTATTACTTTGTAAGGATTCGATTGATTTTAAGAGAACTGTTTCGTTATGGTTTAAGACTCTTCATCAGTACACGACCACGACCCACTCACACACACACGCGGGATCGAACCCAGGACCATCAGATTATATGGCAAGCTTGTTGACTATTCAGTTAGTGAATTCTAACTTGTTAATTAGCGAATTTCAGTGCCACTACCAATCAATCGTCATCGGTGCTTGTTCTTACACCCCTGATCTGCTGAAGCCGCCCACTACTGGTCACAACTTTTCACCAGAACTCTAAGGCAACTTTTTCCTGTTGTCAATCACTAGTGAGAATCAGATTCGATTCTCGGTGGGATCTTACGTGTATATTACTGAAGAGTCCCAAACTAGGACGAAACAGTGCTTCCTGATGAAAAATATCCATAAAATAGTTCAGTAAAACATATATTTTGCTTCGTACTAATTGCATTCTCGTTTCTCACAGTCTATCACATAATCCAGCCTACCACGACCAGCAATATCATCAGCAGTGATAATGGGCAGTATTGTCTTCACACCAAACGATTCGATGGGCTTTCCATGGTGAATTACTTGACATGTAGTATCATCATATAGCTTATGAACGTGGTTTATATATGTTTTCTGCACTGCACTCTGTAGTGCTAAAGTTTTAGGATCAATAATCATGCGTAGACTAAGCGGTTCTCGGGAGGAAAACAAACACAAGAGAACCAGGCAGACTTAAGACCAGGAAAAGGATGTATTGATCATATCTTCACTCTTCGACAGATTCTGGAACATAGGCATACTTACCGGCGTCCAACAACCGTCATATTTCTTGACCTAAAGGCGGCATTCGATTCTGTCGACCAAGAGTTTTTGTGGCGACGTTTGGCTGCGAATAGAATGCCGAGAAAATACATTGCACTGATCAAGGCACTCTACTCGTACTCATGTACCCAGGTGAGGGCTTACGGAGAGTTGTCATCTGAAGTGATGACAACTAGTGGTGTCCGTCAGAGACATCCAATGTCCCCACTTCTCTTCAGTTTCATCATAGATGTACTAATGGACTTAACCCTAACTGACTTCAGCGACTCAGGGATTGACTTGTTACCAGAGAATAATCTCGTTGACTTAGAATATGCAGATGATATAGTCCTTCTAGGTGAGGACGCTAACAAAATTCAGTCTTCTTACCACCTTGACCAGCAACATTTGAATGTATGGCATGCGATTCGCTCCCGCAAAATGTAAGATGATGCTACAGGACTGGACTACATCGACTCACTCCTAGCTTAAAAATAGGGAGGGAAGTGGTAGGGCGCGTTGACCGCTTCATTAGTCTCAACGGGTTGATCGCTGACGAAATCTCAGCACAGATACAGAAGGCTCGTTTCGCATATACCAACTTATGCAATGTCTTGCTTAGTAGACGTGATATCAGACTGTCGACTAAAGGACGTGTATACTGCTCAGCAGTTCGCCCTGTCCTCCTTTATGGTTGTGAGTGGGACATATCAGCCATTAAAAGTGGGAGACGTGACGAAAAGACTAGTTGTGTTTCATCATCGGTGAATACGTTCTATCTCCTGTGTGTATTAGGTGGTATAATAGGGTAAGCAATATTAAGATTACGCGTCGACTGCTGAATAAGGAGGGGTAAAGTCAAATCAATCGACGAGGTTGTGAAGCAACTGCATAGATTGAGATGGTTAGGACATGTGTTACGCATGCCTAGCCTAACCATCACCTTCCTCAACAACAGGCAATGTTAGCTGGCTGACATAGGACTGATGAGGTTGGAAAAGAGCTAGCACGTGGTGGTCAAACCACAACATGGCCTCATCAGTCAATGAAGTCCATAACATATTTAGTGTAAGCCAGCCAGTCACGTAAGAAGGTATAGACTTCCTGATTGACTGGTTGGGGACCTCAGTATGCTAAGAACCAATGAAGGCTGGAGACAATTGGTGATATTGCTCAAAATCCTTGTTATCAATGGCTGGTGCAGGTGCATTCACTCTTTGTGATTTACAATATCGAGTGAAATTATATTGTTCTTCCATATTACTGTTCCTTTTGCCTCATATTTCTGTTTATTACTACTCTTTTAAATCCCTCTTCTCTTGGTTTGTGTGATACATGTAGGGAGAGTGGCAACTCGAGTCGTTGCACATCGGTGGAAAGTCCTACGGTGAAACCAGTCAGTGCTAAAGTAGTTGCGAAGTTACGTCACAGTCAACAGTGTTGATGAAGCCCGCTGTAAATATAGCTACTGGAAATCCTAACAACTTCTTTGTTCTATAACCTAACAAGTCATTAATGAGTGAAATTAAAATGACTTATGAAAAAGGAAGGCTGTATTTTATTTCTAAATAATCTATAGTAAGTTAACACGCATAACATGTGGGACTGACTTAGTCTAAAAGGTCCAATCACCCCAGATACGTCAAGGTAAAAAATAAGCGAAAACCAACAAAAAGAAGCATGAGAACGATGGAAATTAACAGACTATAAGAAACGTAGAACAAAAAAACAAACATTACTAATTTATTTAATTGGTGGATGGTGACTAGCAGTGGAATACACCAAGATGCACATTTCGTGGCTCAAATGGTCTGGTGAATAACGCATCGGCGTTTGAAACTATGGGCACTGGGTTCGAGCCTCAGTGGGAACATCATCACTCACTGCGGAATGCAGATACATCCAAATGACGAATCCCAAAAAGGGCGAAATGCGCATCTTGGTGTATTCCACTGCTAGTCACCATCCTCTAATTAAATTTGTTAATGTGGAAAATTCCCATATTATGAATTAAAAGTCAATCTGAACGAAGAATATTCTTTTCAATAATTTCTCTTCAGGTTCTTACAATTATAAAATATAATATTTGTTGTCGTTACAATAAAGGCCAGTTATGCGGCAGGTACATTTTTAACGTAGAATAACAGATTAGTTATGGGGTGTCAAAATAAATAGTCGTATTTGTGTGACAAACGTGCTAGGCTGAATTCGATTACAAAATATTGTAATCACTATTGTCTCCCGTTTTACAATATTTTGTAATCGAATTCAGCCTAGCACGTTTGTCACACAAATACGACTATTTATTTTGACACCCCATAACTAATCTGTTATTCTACGTTAAAAATGTACCTGCCGCATAACTGGCCTTTATTGTAACGACAACAAATATTATATTTTATAATTGTAAGAACCTGAAGAGAAATTATTGAAAAGAATATTCTTCGTTCAGACTGACTTTTAATTCTAATTAAATGCCCAGATATCGTCGAAGCATCTGCACAAAAAGGCGACATGTCAACCTGAGACCAAGCACTTCGGTCCAATCAATCGACGGGAAAATCTAAAGAAATTCAATTAAAATTACTCATTTATATATGTGCAAACCACGTTCACTTTTAACAGTGCATTGGTTATAAGATATTCATTATAATAAAGGTTTTTATAATTTCCCAATGAATGAGAAGCAAACGATATTGTTGTTTTTACTGACGTTTCTCCATTTAATACTGCTAATCGGTCGGTCGGTTTTCGACATAGAACTTTGCACATATGTGCGGCAGTTCAAGTCGCCACACTTCACTCAGCACACAAAGCAAGAGAAGAAATGCATAATATAGACAGTAAACAGAGGTGAGACAAAGGTATAGTAATAACGAAGAACAATATGGTTTCATTGGAAATCATAAGTCACAAGGAGTGGACGCATGTGCGCCATCAATGAGAACGATTTTGAGCCATATAACCAATTGTTTCCAACCACATGTTTTTACGTCCCGGGGACCCCAAACAAGAAGTCTACACCTTCCTACGTGGCTGCTGCTAATAGCTTTATCAAAGCGTTATTATTAAACCAGAATTTACAAAATCTCTGCTCATATATAACAACTTAATCACCTTCACTCAGCATGGGGGCACTTTCGCGTTATCAAGTTGTCCAATTGGTAAATATAACAAAACCAGGTGTAGATTGTTGGATTTGATAAGTGTGCAAACTTGTAAAAGCAGTGTATGTTTACAAAATGAAATTGCTTATCACATTTGTGTTGATTTTGTCATTTCATGGAGGATGGAGGTGTTTTAACCAGGTCAGATTCTGTTCTAGTCAATCATTCCTATTCAATTCAGACAATTTTGATTCCACTTGATATGAAGTGCTTCTGATGATGTTAGACGTTCTTTGTGATTTCTAAAATGCTTTTTCTGGATGGTGATTTCAATATTGTCAAAATCAATTCTGTGACCTTATTCTATAGAGTGTAGACGACCACCTATGGTTGATGAATTTTCAAGCTTTACTATGGCTCAACTGGATTTCTCGGTGGTTGAACAGATGCTCTACGGTGTTTAAAGACGTCAGACGATATCAGAAGAGTACTCTCAATAAGCACAACGTCACAGTTTTCTTCAAAACATCAGACACGCACACTGCAAAGCAACCTTGTCTATATAAAAGACCAAATCCCCAAAGATTCTCTACCTAATTGTGTCTATAAAATAAAATGCTTGCTTGGAATGTGATGGGATATACATCGGACAAACATCGCGAGAAATCAAGGTGATCAGAATAAATGAACACCGTAGAGCTGCATCTGTCCGACCACCGAGAAATTCAGTTGAAGCAGAAAAGCTTGAAAAATCAGCCATTCATAACTTGTCTACACGCTATAGAATCAGGCCACAGAATTGATTTTGACAATATTGAAATCATCATCCAGAAAAAGCATTTCAGAAATCACAAAGAACGTCTCATTTCATCAGAAGCACTTCATATCAAATGGAATTAAATCACACCTAATATTAATCATCTACAAGTACATGCAAATGACAATAAACAGCATTTAAAAAAATCACGGTGTAGAAAACAAAACATTTACTTACTTGTAAGTAGTATAATAAATTTTCAATAATAAATGCCATATGATTACGAACTAGTAAACGCCGACCAATTCTCAATTGTAAATGAACAAAATTACTATTTGACATTGTTATATTATCATTATCATCAACATTCCTGCCTGGCCCCTTCTTCGTCTTATAATACGCTGAAGTCAACTGACTATCATGAGATCTAGCACGACGCCATAGAAGAATTTGATCAGCCCAATACTGCTGTAGTTTTAATTGTGTTCGACGAATAGAGAAGAGAAAGTGAAACAGCCTATTGTAAGCATGACATATTTGTGTAGAGAATAGACAATCGAGGGCTGATGGAATATTAATCTGTAAGTATAAACAGTCTAAAACTGTTAGATCAGTTGTAGGGTTCAATGTTGTTGTTGCGGGATCTTGTTGAGATGTGGTCTTCAATTTTATAAAAATTCTAGATATGTTTGAAAGAAAATTAAAAAAAACAAAAAGACCATTTGTAGCTTATAGGTGGATGGTATTCAATTAGTTGTGTTCTCTGAGCTGATGGTTGATTTAATTGTGAAGCTTTCGTCGTCCACCTTCCAAACAACATCCCCCTTCAGCACAGGTTTTAGTATAAAATGAACTCATTTAAATTCTCTATAGTGATGTAAATGTATCCATCCCCTCTCGTCTTCTGTCTGTGTGTTTTCGACATAGAACTTTGCACATATTTGTGCCACACTCCGTGTAGCAGACAAAGCAGGAGAAGAAAGTAGGAGAAATGCATAATATAGACAGTAAACAGAGGTGTGAGACAAAGGAATAGTAATAACGAGGAACAATATAGTTTCACTGGAAATCATAAGTCACAAGGAGTGGATGCATCGGCGCCAGCCATTGAGGACGATTTTGAGCCATATCACCGATTGTCTCCAGCCATCATTGGCTCTTACCGTCCCGAGGACCCCAACCAGGAAGTCTGCATCTTCTTACGCAGCTGGCATAAACTTACTGTTTTGGATTTCATTGACTAATGAAGCTATGTTTTGGTTTGACCACCACTAGCTCTTTCCAACCTGACCCTATGTCAGCTAACATTATCCGTTGTCGAGGAAGGCAATAGGTAGGCATGCATGAGTAACACATGTCCTAACCATCTCAGTCGATGTAACTTCACAGCCTCGTCGGTTGATTTCCCCTCCTAACCTAGCACTGGACGGACGCTTAACCTCAATTTTCAATGATTTTTCTAACTGATATTGGCTCCTGGCGAAAATCTAACGATCGACGACACTAAGATTAGTGGAAACAAATCTGTTAGAATGTATCAAAGTATGGCAGTATCAGTAAAGTACAAATATTATTATTTTTGACTTCTATTGCTTTTTTTGACATAATTTATCTAATCTGTAGAAAATAACAAAAAAATGTTACCTTAAAATAATCAAGAAGATTAAGTAGCTCAGGTGAATGTTTTTGACATGGTTGTATTTTCTGAGCTGGGCGGTAGTTTAATTCTCTCTAGACAGCATCTTCAGAGCGTATTTAGTCAACGAAACGATCGATTTCAATATAAATTAACAATTAAACACAACTTAGGTTACCAGAAGCGATACAATCAGATCATTATTCATGAAGAATTCACCCAAGGTCACTTCACATTCAAATCAGCAATGAACTTCCATCCAACTCCGATAATACAACCATATCAAAAACCCACTCTGGGTATATTGTCCTTTGTAGCAACTATACATCACATGCACTTGTACAGAATTCCAAATCAGATTGGAAATGTGCTGCATTCGACACAAAGAACAAAATTCCGGTTTTCAGCACCAATGTTAAGTCAGTCAGAAATTTGGCCTACGCGTCACGAAAACGATTTCCGATGAGTTACAGACGTTTACAATCAGCTACCTTTGCTGGCTCCATATATTTTTTATTATAGCTCGATTCCACATCGTATTTTTGGTACAAGTATGGAATTTTCAGCATGTGATATCTGTAGCCCAAATTTTGTAGGCCGACCATTGATATCAGGTGTGTGTCGGTAGGGGATCAAACCTCGAACCATGTGCATTGTCGGCGAGAGTCCTAACCGCTGTGCCACTGACGCACAAATCACCAGTCGGCCAGAATGAATTAGGAAGAAGAAACTTTGGCAATGGACAAACCAACGAAGAGCTGATTACTCAGCAAATATGTAAGAGAAAATGGAGACAGATCGGACATACGTTGAGGAGGCCGTCGAATGTCATCGCGCACAATACAGGCTATCTCTCGAGTGGAGCCCGAATGGGAAACGGCGAGTTAGGCATGTGTCTGAGGGAGACACAGAAGAGGTTGTGTGAGGACGAGACGAAAGCTTATAGGAAATCGTGGAGAACTGCAGAGAACAGGATAAAGTGGAGATGTGTCGTTGAAGCCCTATGATCCACTAGGAATCTAAGGGAACATTAATAATGTGATATGACTTGTATTCTGCCTTGGAAAGTCTATGAATTTAAACGGCTTTTATGAAGTGTAGTGCAAGATAAGGTTTTACGTGGAAGCTTTTTATTTCTGTTTTATCACACTACACAGCTACAATATATGATTGATTATTATATATAGTATATCATGCGGGTCACATATATTGTGACCTGAGAACTTTTTGTTTCCAAACAAAACAGTAACGATCTTTCATCTTGAACTTTGTAGCTGTTCGTAAATGATAAATCTGATTTTTCTCACATGATTTAATCTAACCAACCAACCGACTAACTGACTGAGCTTTAACACAGAACTTTGCACAGAAGTAAGCCAGTTCAAGTTACCATATTCCATGTAACCCATAAAGGTAGAAAAAGGAGAAGAGAAATTCAAAAGAAATACAATAAGTCTATCTGTCTGGATCCACCATAGAACTTGGCACCGAAGTGCACCACTTCGAGTTGCCATGTTCCAAATAGCACACAATGGTAGACAAGAAAATGAGTGAAGAGAATCAATCGAGTTTTGACAAATATAACAGTGAAACAGAATGAGTAATGGTAGAAAGGAATATGAAAGATTACAGAGACTGAATACATCTGCGTAAGCCATTGACAACGATTTTGAGCCATGTCACCTATTGTCTCCAGCCATTGATTCTTAGAGTCCCGAGGGCCCCAACCCGGAACTATGCATCTCCCTACCTGACTCAGTTTAACTGTCAGGGATTTCATGGATTTATGAGGCCATGTTTTTGTCTGGCCACCACTTACTCTTTCCAGCCTGCACCTATATCAGTTAGTGATGCCCGTCGGGGGAGGCGATGGTTAGGCATGCGCAGCACGTGACCTAGCCATCTCAATCTATGTAACTTTATAGCCTCGTCGATTGATTTTCCCTCTTTGCCCAACACAAGGAACTAGACACATGACACTGGTTAGTGTCAGCTGTTTCTAGTCGAACTCAGTTACCCGGAATAGGTTTTTCATGTAGCCAGGCTAAGAGCCACACACTTATCGTGTGAGGGCTGGTGATACTACTGTAAGAGTTAGGCTTGAGTTAACTTCGACCTAACTATAACCACTCTTACAAAACTTATTCACCGCTTATGGCCTTAATCGTACTCTGCCTAACGTGCAAGTACTAACGAACGGAATCAAGGTTAAAAGACTTGAGATGGCAAGTGTGACTGGAACAGAATTGTATTTACACAAAAGAGATATGGAATTTGATAAGAAATAAGAGGTACACACTTATCTGGAGGTGAGACGGTGGTCAGCTCGGAGAGTGTACTAGGTGAAAGCACAGCGAGAGAGAGAAACCGAAACCGTACAGGAGGTTCAGGAATACAAAGTGGAAGTCGGGTTAAAGGTCAGGCTGAGTTCGTTCAAACAAAAGTTCGAAGGTACAATGTACACTACAGGTTATCCCCCCCTTAGAAGGTTGGTGGGATAACAGCAAGCTTCGATGTATAGAAGTTACAAGGGTGTGTACAATAACAGTGAATGAACAAGAAAATGTGAAGATAGTAATAAAGTAGTTTTTTTTGAAATATATATATATATATTGTGAAAGGAAAGAATGAAGGAAAAAAAATAATAAAGACAATTTATAGACATTATGTGTGCGTCGGTGGCATAGCGGTTAGGACACTCGCCGACGATGCACATGGCCCGGGGTTCGATCCCCGGCTGACGCACTCCTTTACCTCGCTAAGCCAGTAATAATGCTGGTGAAGAGGGAAGGTTGGGCATGAGGCTAGCAACCCCATCCTGTAAAATAAATACTGCTACAGAAACTTCAAGCCACTAACTTGGAGCCCTGTGTTCCACTGGGGAACGTGAAGGAAGAAAAAAAGGAAAATAGGCATTATGTACATGATCAATGGTGTAAGATGGAATATAAGAAGGAATAACGCTGGTGCCTTGGTGTGATTTCGAGCTTTTGAGTTGTCGGTTTTTTTTAACATCGTTTATTTTTACTTATCTTTTTTTATATATATCCGTTTATTTAGTATTTTTTTACGACATACTATTACGGGCTGGATTATGTGGAGGTCTGATGGTTTACCTCCGTTACTCAGGTTGTTATAACGGGAAGGTGACTCATTATGTCTAAGTTTCATCTTAGACTAATGCTCCATTCTTCCTCATCAACCAAAACTAGTAGTAACACCAAAGGCAATCAATATACCAGCGTATTAGGAAGAATAAATTAAAAGCAACAGAAAAGAATAGAAGAAGAGGTTAAGATTTAAAAATCAGCATAAGTTGTTAACAAGAAGTTAAGCGGAATAAATGCAAGGAAACTAGTGTAACATGGGAGTGGTACGCCAAATTGAAATAAAACAAGGGAAATTGCTAGCGCTGTAAAAACTTATGCAAGGTACAGAGAAGTGTGTGTATAACCAATAGCTATGAGTAGGTACAATCGCCATTTTTTTTTAAATATTGCGAGCTGTATAATTAAAGTGATGCAAAGTAATTACAAGTATGGGTCACAAAATAAATAAGTTTCATCATGGCATAACCCGAGTGAAAATAGATTGAGCTGATTAAAATGTACAGTATAGAAGTGACGTATTTATATGCAAAAATATTTAACGGTCCGTTTAACAATACAGTGAAAGTTTTTGTTTTTACATTTTATTATATTTTTTATTTATTTTTTATCTGGTCTATATTTGTGTTCGTTTGGTTTGCAATTCCACAAGTGTTGGGAGTCACCATACGACAATGGAATGGACTGGTCTAGCTAGCGGTTCGAGTGCAACGCCAAAAATAAAATGTTAGAATACTCTGTAACGAGAAAGAAATCTAACAGGATTAGTAACTGAAAAAGTGGCTACTGCCCACAAACGAAACCCAAAAGAGTAAATATCGTGAAAAATGAATGTAACCTGAGAAAAGACATGAAGGTATGAGTAACTCTTGTAATTAAAAACGTTTAGTTAACAAATTCACAGTATCGCTTAGGCCAGTGTACACGCCGACCAGA